ATTTTTCACTTAAATCTTGCCGTTTCTATATTACGAGCCTGAAACCAAAATTTGACATGTTTTGACATCGTTGTTTATCTGGTTGTCATGGCAATTTTTATTCAAATTCGTTACCGGTCTGATGTTTTTACTTCAATACTTCCACAAAAATACTCTTTTCCTCTTGGCCATTTACAAAAATTTGCTTTTAATTTAAATAGTTTTCCGTTCTTATCCCAGATCCGCCGTCGAGCGCGGAGCTCTCTAAAAAGGTATAAAAGCCGAACAATCGGCCAATAAACTCAGTCTCGCTTCAGCTTTCAAACTTGAAGCATCTCCTAAAGGCCTTATCCCGGGGCCGCACTGCCCCGGGATCCTGCAAGCCTCTGCCTTCACCTGAAGTCGTCGCCTAGCCACGCCCACGCCTCCACCTACTAGTGCCCGCGCTATCTTCAGCCGCTGTGCGCGCCTACTCCGGGCGCTGCGTGTGCCTACTCCAGGCGCTGCGTGTGCCTACTCCAGGCGCTACGTGTGTCTACTCCAGGCGCTGCGTGTGCCTACTCCAGGCGCTGCGTGTCCCTACTCCAGGCGCTACGTGTGTCTACTCCAGGCGCTGCGTGTGCCTACTCCATGCGCTGCGTGTGCCTACTCCAAGCGCTGCCTGTGCCTACTCTGGGCGCTGCGTGTGACTACTCTAGGCGCTGCGTGTGCCTACTCCAGGCGCTGCGTGTGCCTAGACCAGGCGCTGCGCACCTAACACAGGCAAGGCCTGTTCATACTCCGTGAGCGGTGAGCACCACCGCCAAGCGCGGTGTGCCACTTTGGTCTTCGAGCTCCGCTTTCATACTCATCTATCTTTATTATTTTTTTTTCACGTCATCCATCATCATCATCATACTTAATTTTTTTATATAAAACTGTAAATATCTTTTTAAATTTTAAATAAATTATTCGTTTTTGTTCTATTTTTGTTGTTTCGTTGTTGTTAGGATAGGTTCTTTTGTTTTTAATTGTCGCTTTACGATATTGTCTTGGCAGAGGCGTTGAAAACTACGAGCAGTTTTGTAGTTATTGAGTCCAGCTTTTGTACGCCGTGATGACGTAAGAAGTAGCTAGGCTCATGCTGTTCAGTACATAGCTTCATGTGGCCGAGTTGTAAATATTCATCAATAAACTTTTTGTATGAAGTAGAGAACATTTCCTGTTTTGCCAGTCGTTTTTCTAACTGCCGAAATTGTGCGACTGCCTGTGGCTTAGAAGTGCACAAGGTGTGTTTGCAGTTTATTTTCATTGGAAGTCTGATTTCATATCATCAGTCTTCTTGAGCGGTGAGCCAAAACAACAGCCTTTTATACAGACCGCTGACGCAACCGCTCCCTGCTTAAGGAGCGAGCGACCGCGTCATGCGATAAAACATGCAACCAATCACCACCGGGCTTACGCAGCCGTTTGGAAAATTAAAAACAAAACGCCGCGCAACGCCCGCCTACCCCCCAACCACGCGACCAATCGCCGAACACCGTGAGGGTGACAAACGATTGTTCGAGACACTCACAGTACCGAATGTAGTACATCACTATTAACATGGTACAACCCTATTATAACCTTTTTTATAACTGTCAAATCGACATTCTCTCTCTTCTATTAGCGAGTCGTGTGCAGTACAGACGCCAATTTTGTACAGTTTTAAATTATACAACAAACCAAAGAAATTAATTGTTTTCAATTAATACAAATCCCGAACATTACTTACTTACTTACTTATCTTCACGCACAATCCCTGACGGGGTAGCCAGAGAGAACAGATCGCCAAGTGTCACGATCCTTACATATCTCTTTCGCTTCTTTCAGATTCATTATCTTCTTCATACATGCACGTCTAGGTATCCGAGTACTCCTGACCCTACCCTCTTCGAGCAATTTGCTCACATGGTCTTCGAAAGTTAGTCTCGGTCTACCTCGACACCTTTTAATATTAACTTTCGCGCTATATATTTTCTTCACCATTCGGTCTTCACTTATTCGCTCAACGTGCCCAAACCACCGAAGCACGCCCTTATCAATTTTTGTGATAAGGTCATCTTTCAAACCTGCCATATTGCGAATCTCTTCGTTTCGCTTTCGGTCGGCCATGGTAACGCCGCACATTTTACGAAGAGATCGCATCTCCACTGCATTCAACTTACTTTTATGCTTCTTCTGGCATACCCAGGTTTCGCTGCCATATAACAAAGTCGGTACCAACACTGCGTTATGTATTGCAAGGCGTGCACTCTTCGCTACGCCTTGCCTTTTGACTAACGCAGTCAGGGCACCATTGACTTTGTTCCCGGCAGCGACACGCCTGTCCACATCTAAATCACATCTTCCATCCCGGCTAAAAGCACTCCCCAAGTATACAATTTCATTTACCTGTTCTAGACATTCCTGATTTACCCATATTTCACACTTCGTTCTCTCTTCGTCCCTTTCAAATACCAGAACCTTAGTTTTATTAGCGTTCAAACGGAGACCTTTAATTTCACATTCCTCTTTCATACACGCGACTAATGCCCGCAGTTCTGCCTCTGATGGTGCAATAAGCACTGCATCATCAGCATACAGCAGACAATTTACTTTTATGTCACCCAATTTCACACCCAAACAGCTATCTTTCAGCTTTTGTAAACAGCTGTCGAGATACAGTATGAACAGCCAGGAAGACATGACACAACCCTGTTTTACGCCCGTTTGGACGCTAAACATGGGTGACAGGTCATGCCCTACCCGCACACAGGCTTTACAGTCACAGTAAAGAGACTGCACAGCCCTTAGCAATCGGCCATCCACACCATACCCCGGCAACAGTTCCCACATTTTCTTCCTTACAACCTTATATAATGCTTTCTCAAGATCCACAAAAGCACAGAAAATCTTCTGGTTAACAGCCAGAAGCTTTTCCGTGATCATACGGAGAGAAAACATTTGATCCGTGCATCCTCTTCCAGGTCTAAATCCGCATTGTGCCTCCCATAGAAATCTTTCCGATTTCTCTTGCATCCTACGTATCAAAACCTTCGAGTAAACTTTACTTGCTAAACTGGTCAAGCTGATCGCCCGATAGCACCCGCAGTCAAAATGTGAACCTTTACCTTTATATAAAGGCACAATGACTGCGGATTGCCAATCATCCGGGACATCCCCCGTCCGCCAGCACAAATTGCACAGCAGATGAAAGCTGTCCCAGACGCGAGGCCCACCATACTTGACCATTTCAGCAGTAACTCTGTCTAGTCCCGCAGCCTTACCACATTTCAAACTTCGAATCGCACGTTCAATCTCTTTCATACTGATGACCTCAGTGTCATCGAGGTCCGGGTCTGGCGTGCCAGTCACGGCGTCATCCCCGGATCCCTCACTAAGATCATCACACGCATACATTTCTCTATAAAATTCGCTCCATCGCTGCATGACGTCCGATTTTTCTGAGAGGACGTCATTAGTTCTCGAAAGCACTTTGTTCATTCTTAAGGCCGTCGCACCACTTCGGGTCCTTCCAACCTCTTTCCAGAAGAGTTTGGAGTTCTCCTTAAAGTTGTGCGACAACCTTTCATCCGCTTCCATTCTACACCTTTCACGCACTTCCTCAATCAATGCTTTCGTGTGAACTTTCTGCAGCTTATATCTTTCTTTCATCTTCTCTCTCATATCCTTATCATTACTAGAGGCCAAGTAGTCTAACCATGCTTTCTTCTTCTTCATTACAGCTTCTTTCACTTCATCATTCCACCATGCATCTCTTCTTTTACTACTGCCTCTTTTTATTGTTCCACACACTTCTTCCGCTGCACTTACCATTCCATCCCTAAGGTTCTGCCATGTTCTTTCTACACATTCGTTTCTGCTATCGATGGTGTCAAGCTTTTCGGCTACCCTCGCATGATATTTGTCCCTAGTATCCGCTTCCTGAAGCTTCCAGCTTCGGATGCGACAGACCGACTGTGGTTCTGTCACTGTCGTCCGGTAGCGCCAACCCGCGAACAGACCCCTAAATCTAGTAATCACTAGATAGTGATCCGTTCCCAGGTCAGCACCCCTGAACACTCGCGTATCCATAACCTGTTTTCTCAGTCGGTCATCCACCAGGAACAAATCGATCATACTTCTCTCATTCTTTCTTTCTCTAGTATACATATGGATTTTCTTGTGATTAAACATAGTGTTTGTCACAAGAAGACCCTTTTCCTTGCATACCGCCAGTATAAGCTTGCCAGTATCATTAACCCTTTTATCGCTAAACTTTCCAAGTACCGACTCGTACCCTGGTCGAGCGGTACCAACCCATCCATTCAAATCACCACATACAACAATCCTTTCGTTTCCCCTAGCCAAATCTAGAACTTCTCTTACATTCTCCCAAAACTCTTCCAGCTCAGCCCTGGACGACGAAGCCACCGGCGCATAAACAGCCAAAAGGAATAACTTCGTCAGTCCCAATTTAAAGCGAACCCAGAGAAGTCTTGAGTTCACAAACTTATATTCAGTCATAACATCGACCAACCGAGAAGACAGCAGCACCCCCACTCCCTGGCAGGCGTTCTCGCTCTCCGGGACTCCGGACCATAGAGCTAACGCCCCACCAGGGAGCTCTTCAGTACCACTGCCCTTCCGTTTTGTCTCCGACATAAACACAACATCTAATTCTCTTTCTTTCATTATTTCGATCAACTCATTCGTCTTATCTCTCATGCCTCCTCTAACATTCCACGTGCCAACTCTGCACTCCGTCCTCTACCTTCCGCCGTGTCGGGCTGCGCGGGACGGGTGGCGGTGCCCATCGCCGCTTTGCGCGCTGCATTCCACACCAACGGGGACGAGCTGGTGTGCGTCGCCTTGGGGGGACGCCCTAACCCTCGTTGACATGGTGCCCGAACATTGGTGCCAGAAACCCAAGAATAAGAAAATCCAAGGGATTACATCGATATTTCAAGATTGAGATTCGACGACTGTGTGACGCCCGGTGGAGGTTCCACGTGAACAAGATGGCTGGCAGTGATGGTTTTAAAGATGCCACGGATAGTAAGGTGGACCAGGATGCGACAAACTTGGACGCGTTATCCAAGCTCCAACATGCGCGTGGGCAATGTAAGCGGACGATTACAATGGTGGAAAATTTCAAACAGGGTGCGACCGATCCGTCTGCCGCGGCACTGCAGTTGCGCCTACGTGCCATTGACAACGCCTACAACAATTTCACCAAACTGCAGGCGGACATAGCTGCCATCCAGGGCTTCATGGACCACGACGAGGGCTTTGAGGAGCGCTACTTCAACCTTAACGCTTCTTTCTCAACCGTGTTGGAGTGTGTACGCGCAGATGACGACGATACGAAGACGTCACGCGGCTCCAGATGCGGGACCACGTTGCCGCCCATAGATATCACAGACTTTAGCGGAGGCATCGGTCAGTATCGTCCCTTCATAGATTTATTCAGTACAGTAACAAGTAGTAATAGGAATCCTTCAAATATACAGCGTTTATTTTACTTAAGAATGTATTTAAAGGGAGAGGCACTAGCTCTCATAGATAATTTACCACTTATTAATTACTCATACACTCATGCGTTTGAGCTACTCAACAATCGCTATGACAACAAGGCATTGATAGTGAATAATCACATCAACACCTTACTAGATTTGCCTGTAATCAAAAGCTCTGCTCAGCAGTTACGCAGCTTAGTCTCACAAGTCAGTCAGCAAGTCACTGCGCTCCAAAATTTAGGACAAGCCATGCAGTGGGACACCATACTAGTGTGCATTTTAACTAGAAAATTGGACACTTCCAACCTCCAGCCTTTACCATTCAGAACACAGTTTAGATTCCATGACTACTTTAAAAGAGTTGCTTAATTTTTTTAGAAAGGATAGCCATTGCTGTAGAAGCCAGTCCCTCCACCACTGAAAGGGCAAGGATTATGAAAAGTGAGTATGAAGTGCTACTGCCCACAGTTAAGGTGAGGATTAGAGACAAAAATAGTCGCAGTGTCATTGTTAGAGCCATGTTAGATTCCGGTAGCCAAACGTCATTTTGCACACAATCATTAGTTGACATGTTAGGTACACCTACATTCAACCATTCAAAAAAATTGTTCACCACTTTGCTACCGTAAAACAAAATTAAACTGATGTTTGCGAAGTAACATTTTAAAAGCTTTTGATTTCCCATAGTTTATTTGTGCTTTTCTAATTTCGTCTCTTCTTTCATTTTTTAAGTTTAACGATTTATTTATTTGTTCCATTTTAAGGTTATAAAAATATTTTGATATAACTTTGAAAATATTTTTAACTAACTTTCAATCAAAGTTCAACTAAAAGTTCCTTTCACTGGTATTTATTTAAAGTTCAGATGTTGTATTTAAAGTCAATGTCCATACAAAATGATTCCAAATTGTTCTAAGTGTTTATTTCACCCTAGAATTTTCTAAGTCTAATGTTCATACAAAACGAACCGATTTTTTTCTGTTTTTGGTTTCACACGCGAATTTTCTAAGTCCAATGTTCATACGATTGCACTCCGAAATTGTTCTATGTGTTTATACTCCAGAAATATTTTACAAGTCCCTGCCACTATTCTATTACTCACGGGTATTGAGGTCCAATCCACAACACTGAAATCCGTAAGTTTGTCACTACACAACACTTCACTTGTATACCGCACTATGTCCTATTTCCGTTAACACTTCCTACTACGCACTCACTTGTCCGACTCGTAGGACCATTTTGTTCCGCTAAATTACCGACTAAATTAAACACTATTTGAAGGTACGATTCTGTAATAAAGAACTGACTATACTTTAAAAACAACAATATTATGATACAGAAAAACCGCTTTGTATTGCGCGATTTAAGTGACAATTAGCGCCATCTGTTCGTCGAAGGTAAAATCTCGAAGACAGTTGTAAATGTAAATGATAAACATACATAAATATCAATAAAATGAAATAAATACATAAAAAACATTATTATTATTATTCTGATGGTAAGTGGTTGTGTCCATGGACTGTAGTACGCATGCAACCAACATCGAACAAACAAGGCTACAGATGACTTAGATATAATGCTTCGCAACGTGAATTATACTGGCTCTCTATACCCTTCAGGCCGTGACACAGTAGTGTAATTAATGTTATTTATCGGCAGAAATTAAGAGGGTGGACTTACCTACATGAACTCAAAATCGAAGAAGAAGTCCTCCCACCTAGTAAGTACATAACACAATATTTTTTTATATAGAATAAGGGTGACAAACGAGTATAAAGTCCACCTGATCGAAAGTGGATGCTGTGGCCCATAGACATCTACATTTTGTCCTCGATTAAGAATCAAAATGCAGATGCTATGTAAGTCATTAGGAATAAGATGGAATGCCTTCTTTTTAGTAAAATGGGTTTCCGGTAACCTACTCTACACTCATCATAAGAAACACAGCAGTAGGTATTAACTTGATATTTTACCCTGGCATTCTGTGAGAGTGTGGTCTTTCCCGGTTGCGCCTACTCGTTCGTGATGCAACCGTAATATAACTGCAGCGTGGCCTACCACGTATACTCTACAATTAATATCTGTAGTAATAAATTAATAAACATAATATTGATTGATAGATTATGTGAAATAAATATCAAACCCTTATTCTTTAAATTACAAACATTTAACCAATTCCGAGAACGTCAAAGTTAAAAACTCGTAATTGCTACATTTTCGGGTTGGACCAATTTGCATCGTGACTAAGTTTCAAACCCGTCCGCAATGTTAAATTGAAATTGACTTTCTTAACTTGCACATGAATTTTAAAATTGCTTTTCACTTATTTAGTCTGAAACAACAGAACCTCAATACAAAACCTATTTTGCTTTGTTGTTTATTTTTTTGTTGAAGTTATTCATTTAGGTATACTTTCTTCATGATCCGTGATAGCATTTAGAAATGTGGACATCCGTAGGTAACCAGAATAATCGACTAAGCCCAGAGGTTTAATCGGCTGTAAGCTGAAGTGGCAATAGGCAGGCCATATACCTCGAAGAAACGAAAACCGAAGATGAAGAGGTTTTCGAGTGGCAACAACGTACCGCTAAGCGAAATATAGGTTTGCCCCCACTAGATGGAGTGACGACCTGGTAAAATATGCAGGTAGCTCAGGATCATGCTTTGTGGCATTCTTATTGGGAGGCCTGTGTCAGCAGTGGACTTGTGAAAGGTTGTAATGTTGTTGTTGATAATGTCTTTGTTAATATCGTATCTTTATAAATAATAATAATATGTATAATAAATAATAATAAGGGGGATTTTTGCCACAGTTGCCACGCTTACCATGCGGGCTATTAACAACATTTTTTTATTATTTTGGTTTATTATGAGAATTATGTTGCAACACAATTTTCAAATTTTATCAATATTTCATAATTAGTTAGTAAAAAAAGGGGGTGAGGAGATAAATTAAAATGATCTGAACTTGTTCTTTTAAGGGCCCTCGGCCTACCTACAGAGCCGAACAGCTAATGATAGTAAATATGCCGAAGTCATAGCAATAAAGACATGGAAACTTAAAAATAACAGCACTTTTGAGAAATTTTCTTTCGTAATTACTTTCCGTAGCGTATAAAATTGTCAATTATCTACCCTTTGGAAAAATATAAGTAAGTACTCAAGTTTCTAAAACGAAACAATAAAACAATCATATCTAAAGTATGTATTTTAGTATGTTTACGTATTAGAACTATGCTGCAGCTATATATTAAGGATGCAACACGAATGGGTCGACCTGACCGGGGAAGGAAAACGCTCTCACAGAATACCGGCGTGAAACAGCAAGTTAGTCCTCAGGAGTGACGCCAGCCGAGCGCGAGAAGCTGCACGACCACCCAGCAGCCCCTCGCATCCATCATCCTCACCAGCTGGCTTGGTGTTGGCAGGGCTTTCGCGGGCCCAGCGAAGGGGGGAGAGATTTTGCGTATCGGGCTAGGATGCATCGACTTTTTGCTGAGCAGGAGCCATCTATAACCGTCACCGAGTAAAACCTGGCAGACCGAGTTCGGTATATCTTGCGCTCAAACATATTTGATAGCACCGAACTCGAACGACTACGACGTGAGGCTGTACCCTCATCGAATGAAAATGCTACAGCTGAGGATGCGGCGCCACAAGTTGCAGAACAATCAGCACACGTGGATGCCGCCGTGAATCTTTCAGTTGTGGTTGGTTCAGATGATGATGGAACAGACGCCCAGGAACTAGAACTAGAGCAAATGAGGGGTACATTGGAAGAGGCTATTTTGGAAACGCGCAGTACGTCACGAAAATCGACCGCGACTTCCCCACATACCCTTAAGCAAGCGGAATCGGGCTGTCGTGAGGGCTCTCAACCCAATGCTGGTGAACTATTTGGAAGCCAGCCGGGACCTTTGCGAGACGGACTTAATTTTCTTTGGCACCGCACTGGCAGTTTGCCGTATTATTGGTGCCAAACCTCCCACGGCTGGACCCGCTACTAGGCAAAGTAGCGCTATCCCAGCTTGGAAAAGAAGGATTGATGACCGCATCGCAAAGGCAAGGGCCCTCATCAGCAGACTGATAAGCTTCAGGTCGGGCAATAATAGGCCGAGAACTGTGCGCACCGTCAGCATGTTATTTGCTGAGACAAATATCAGTTTGTCCCAGCCGGGTATCACGCAAAAACTGACGGAGCGCATAGACGACCTGAAGCAGAGAATCGCTGCTTGGGGGAAGTGAGAAGAGGTTGACACGGTTCAACCACAATCGTCACTTCCAGAGTGATCAGAAGAGGCTCTATGAATCATTGGAGCGGCCAATGTTACGTGGAATGGGCTCAGCACCGAATCAGGCCGACACTGTCGCATTCTGGCGCGGCTTGTGGTCAGAGCCCGTAAACTACAGCGAGGGCCCTTGGACGGAAGTTGTGGAGAGTCAGTGTGCGAATGTTACGCCCATGGACCCCGTCATCATAACGCCGGATGACGTAGCTGAGGCGGTCCGTAGGGACCCGAACTGGAAAAGTGCGGGACTCGACGGACTGCATCATTACTGGCTGAAGGGGCTGTCGATCAAAAGTCGCTCCCGAGCCACTACTGGGATCACTCATTTGGTTCCTAAAGACCGGGACACCACAGACCCGAACAAATACCGCCCAATTACGTGTCTACCCACCATATATAAGACACTGACATCCATTTTGAGTACGCGAATCATTCGTCACCTGGATTTAAACCAGGTGATGTCGCGTGCTCAGAATGGATGCCGGGGCGGTGGTCGTGGAACCAAGGAACCACTCCTTATTGACGCGGTCATTGGAAAAGTGGTTAAACTGAACCGTCGGTACTTCTCCGCCGCCTGGATAGACTATAGAAAGGCATTCAACTCGGTGCTCCATACGTGGCTAAAGAGGGTACTTGAGCTGTACAAGGTTGATTGTACAGTTAGAGACTTCCTCGGGCAATGTATGGGGCAGTGGAGTACAGTCCTTTGTCATCTAGGCGAGCGGATGACGGATGCGGAAAGCCGCATAAGGATAAGAAGGGGTATCTTCCAGGACGACTGTTTGAGTCCAATCTGGTTTTGCCTCTCCCTGAACCCTCTCAGTACCTTACTGTAGGACTTCGGGAGGGGATTTCAGCTTCGAAAAGGAGGGACCAAAGTGACCCACCTTTTCTATATGGGTGATATGTGATGATTCGCCTCCAGTCACTCCCATCTTATGGAGCTGCTAAACATCACTTGTGATTTTAGTAGTTCTATTAGAATGGAGCTGGGGAAGGATAAGTATGCAGTCCTCGATGTTGAAAGGGGAAGGGTTGCTAACTCTGAGGGCATAGACTTATCTATGCCCATCAACATAAGGACCCTTTCCGAGGCTGAAACATACCGATACCAGGGTATGTCACAGAACATCGGTATAGATGAGGCGGGTATGAAACAGTCAGTTTGCGATGTATTTTATGCACGCTTGACCAAAGTGCTTAACAGCCTTTTGTCCGGTGTGAATAAGACGCACGCATATAACGGTTGGATCATGCCTGTTCTCATGTATACCTTTGGCATACTCAGGTGGACTCAGACCGAACTGAAAGCTCTGGACAGAAAAGTCCGCACTATTATGACGTCCCACAGGATGCATCATCTGAGATCGTCAGTAATGAGGCTATACTTGCCGCGGAAACATGGTGGGCGCGACTTTTTAAGCGCGCTTACCATGCATAATCGCGAAGTGTGCAGCCTCCGTAATTACTTTCTGACGAGAGCGGATGATCCATACTATAGGGACGTTATTTCTTGTGATAAATGACTTACCCCTCTATCCTTAGTCAACGAGCAATGGCAATACCCAGCAGTACAGAGCATTTCCGACCGGGAGACCGTATGGAAGGAGAAGGAGCTCCACGGGAGGTTCTACAAGGCTCTACACGAGCCTTTCGTAGACACAGTCGCCTCCCTCCACTGGCTACGTTTCGGTGACCTCTTTGGGGAAACCGAGGGTTTTGTCTGTGCGATACAGGATCAGGTTATTAGGACCAACAATTATCGGAGATACGTCCTAAAGGATGGCACCGTCGACATCGGTTGAGCTTGTCGCCATCCCGGTGAGTCACTTAGGCATGTCATCTCCGGTTGTTCGGCGCTTGCTAACTCTGAGTATTTGCACAGGCAGGCACAACTTAGTAGCCAGGATTCTACACCAGGAGCTCGCTCTGAAATACGGTCTCGTGGATCGAAAACTGCCGTATTATAATTAGTACTTGCCGGAAGCCGTGCTCGAAAATGACCGCGCCAGGCTCTACTGGGACCGGGCCATCATCACAGACAGGACTATTCTTGCGAATAAGCCTGATATTGTGCTGATGGACCGGGCATAGTCAAAGATATTTTTGGTTGACATTACCATTCCTTATGACGAGAACCTCGTGAAAGCCGAAACAGATAAGCTAACAAAATATCTGGACCTGGCTCACGAGGTGACCGACATGTGGGGTGGTTTGCGGGCCGAAATTATACCTGTAGTCGTCTCTGCGAACGGGTTAATCCCAGTCAGCCTCTCGGGTCATCTAAGGAGACTGGGACTCCGTGAAGGACCGCTCCATGCTCAAATGCAGAAGGCGGTGGTCCTCGATACCGCCGGCATCGTCCGCCGGTTTCTTTCCCTTTCGCCCTAACCCTCGGCCGTTTGGTCTCCCCTGCCGAGGGCTTCCATCTGGTTGGGTTTTTATATATTAGGTATTTTTTATGTATTTATTTTATTTTATTGATATTTATGAAAACTTTATAGATACCACATAATAATAATATAATTTATTTAGTTCCAAATACAAATAAAAGTTAACATAACACAAAATAATTTAGGAACTAAAATAAAACTAGACAATGTTAACTATAACGCTGATTTTTAATACACGCCAGAGACAAATGATGCAAAAAAACCAAAACTTAACTAAATAACGTTACCTCCTCACTAGGATTCTCCTGTAGCGTGGCGGCAGTTTAAATACATAAATTTCACAAAGACAAACACATTTCTTATGAATACTGTGACTGCGTAATACGCAATTATGTAACACCTATTTAATTTTACTTCCTATATTTGGTTTCCTATCTTATGAAATAATTTATTTACCAATGTGCCCTTTTTTAAATATAGCATTTTAAATTTTATAATCTTTATAAGTGTATGATTTTTATTTTTATGTTGGACCTCGTGATTAGTTGCATACAGCCCACAGTTAGTTTTTGAAGAGACGGCTTTGTGGCGCAGAGGTTTAGCAATGAGTATGGCGCTGAGGGCCGCGGTTTCGAAACCCGCACGGAACAAGTATTTGTATGGCCTACAAATAATTTTGTGTGCGTGTGTGAGTGTGTACGTGCGTGCATGCGTGCGTGCGTGTGTGCGTGTGTGCGTGCGTGCTTGCGTGGGCGCGTGCGCACGCCTTTGTGTGTGTGTGTGTGTGTGTGTGTGTGTGTGTGCGTGCGTGCTTGTACAACTTGTTGTTTGTGTGTAATGTATTACGGAGATCAATTACTACTTACGTATTATAAAATGCTTCGAACGTACTACGCGTACGTTCGAAGCGTTTTATTAATTATTATAAATACTTTTAATACAGTTTTTGGCTGAATATGGTTTTCAAATACGTGGAACAAATCCTAGTTTTTTGTAAGCTTTTTTATTTACGTGTTTTGTCATTGTCAGTTTCTTTTCAAGGGCAACGCCTAAATCACGTTCTTTATCTACTTCTTCAACTGGGATGTGGTTTATTATAAATTTGTAGGTTTATGTTTGCGTGTAAATTCTATTATTAGATATCATGTAGATCACAATCAGATAGACTGCGTGCTCTTGTGTCACTTTTTTATAGCTTTTAATAATTATCTCTCCAAAATGCTACATAAAATATGCGTTTCTAATCTACAATAACTATACTTTAGAAAAAAATTCAGGTCTCATTAAGTAGTTTTAAATTTTGTTACCAACAGACACATATAAAGCGCATTGTTTTATAATTTTCTTCTTCTTGAATTTGCTAAAAGAAACAAGCCCATCCAACCATCACATTAAAATTAATAATATTTTATGTATTTACTGTATTACTTTATATTAAAATAAAAACTTTTTAACAAAAAAATTAAACCGCCGAAAAAACTGAAAAGCAAAAAATAATAAACCTTTTTTATTTAACCTTAATAAATAAGTTCTTAAACTAATTTAAGTGTACATAAGTATATATTTTTGTAAATATTTTGAGTTTTTAATTAACCTTAATAACTAACTTCTTAAACTAATGTAAGTATACCTAAGTAATTTTGAGTCGGCGCCAAACAAGCAAATTAATTAATTACGTAAAGCGTGATGCGCGGCGCGACACGCCCGGAAAACGCCGAGCGTTCACGAAGTTATTGTCAGCGAGACAGCAACCCGAACGGGCACACACGTAAGGGCACACCTTGTTGCGAGTGGTCGTCCAGAGAGCGCATTTTTTGGAATATTAATGTTTATCGCTGAAGATTTCACGTTGCATTGTTAATTTGATTTTGTTTTGCTTATTTCTTTTAATTTAAGGTAATTTAGTGTTCTTTGTTCATTGATTGTTTGGCGCAGACTCAAAATTACTTAGGTATACTTACATTAGTTTTAGAAGTTAGTTATTAAGGTTAATTAAAAACTCAAAATAATTACAAAAATATATAATTATGTATACTTAAATTAGTTTAAGAACTTATTTATTAAGGTGAAATAAAAAAGGTCTATTATTTTTTGCTTTTCAGTTTTTTCGGCGGTTTAATTTTTTTGTTAAAAAGTTTTTATTTTATAATTTTTCGTGGTTATAATCTAATAATTACTACATGCTTAATTTTTGATTACTTTCAAATTAGCTACCTACCTTAACTATTAACTGTTATATAATCCTACTTTAACAATTATTTGTTGTATAATATAAAAAAACAGGCTTTATATACCACCATAGGTATGCCTACAAAAATGCCTCTCGAATGAGAAAAAGATATTTAGAAGAATCTAATAATGAGAAAAATAAATGGTTGGAAGCAAATAGAAAGAGAATTAGATTAACACGTTCACAGGAGAGTTTAGATGAGCGCGAGGAAAGACTGTCGAAGATGAGAAGCTACATTAACGATAGGTTATCGCAAGAATATGAAGAGCAACGCGCTCATCGTTTAGGTCTGATCAGAGAACGACTTTCAAATGAAACTGAAGACGAACATTTGCTACGTTTGGATGGTGCTCGTAACTGTTCTGCAATGGTGATACTTCACGAAACTCCCGAGGAGAGAACTAATCGTTTGAGCGCCATGCGACAAGCGGCTTGGGAGCGAAGAAACCAGTGCAATGCAGAAAATTTTAAAAAAGCGATTAATCTTTATGTTGACTTGCCGTGTTCAATATGCAAAAAAAGTTTGTATCCTCAGCAACGTACGATATTGCAAACTACAAATTTAGGCTCTATTTTGCCTAATGAATTGGTAGCTTTAGGTTATTACTTGTTCACGATGCTCAAATAATATTAAAAAACATAATACTCCACCGTAGCCCTATTGGAATAAAATGTCGGTAGCTGCAATACCTACAGAAATCGATGACTTATCGGAAATTGAGAAACGTTTTATTTGTAGAGTAGTGCCATTTCTTAAAATAATAAAAGTTCAGAATCGTTTGAGCCAAGACTGGTGCAAAGGGCAGGCAATTATTTTTGCTCAGGATGTAGTCGAGCTAGCGGAGCAACTTCCGCTTGAACCTAATCAAACTGGATTAGTGTTCGTAGTAGAAAGTCATGAAAATTTAGAACATTCTAGGGAGTTTCAAATAGATGTAGGTAAACTTCAATTAGCATTGCAGTGGCTCCTAATGAATAATGCACTCTATAAAGATTTTCGTGTATATTTTCCTACTGTGATCGATATTTCTACGATAACACAAATTGCTGATGAACCTGCACATGGTCATGATAGTGAAGAACAAATTGCTGAACGGTCAACTATACCTACAAATAACTATACTGCCTTGAGTAACAATGTATCTATATTACATGGTTCTTTTCATCAGGACAATGAACGATTTAGTCCAGAGTCACGTGGTCGGCAATACACAGGGATCGCAACTGTTGCTAGTGTGGCATTTTCTCTGATCAATCCTAATAATTCGTGCAAAAGCGACATAGATTACATGTTATTGGTAGGAGATAAATATTATAGAGACTGTATTGCGGCTCGGGCTAACCCAAATCCCGAAGAAGCACATATGGAATATTTGGCTGCAACTGAGCTTTTACCTAATATCACATACAACAATCGAAAAGTTGATATCAATGTTCGTCATGAATCAGCCTTTAATGGTCACGTAGATAACGACAATAGTGAAGAAGGATTTCCCAATTTGTTAAACGCTCTAATAAATTTGTTTAGGGATCACAGTTAAGCTATACTTACGCTGAATAATACAACTGTAGCCGTCCATTATAGACAAGAGCCTGAAGGTATTTCTTACTGGTTGTTTGACTCCCACGCGCAAGGTCCAAAAGGTTTCAAAGCTCAAACGAGAGGTACTTCATGTTGTATACCATCTACTAGTATCCATCCATTTGAATATTATCGTGCGTAGAAATTTATTCATTAAAAACACATCTGTCAATGTGTTAACTCAGAATGTTTTTTCACTGACACCACTTACGATAACACCCGAAAATCAATTAGAACGGTTGCAGCAACATAGAGAAACATCTTGAGACATTCAACAACGACTTCAATCATCTAATTGTCACCAGCCGCAAGATCTGCATACATCTATTATCGTGCAACAACCGCCAAAAGAAAATAAGAATAACATGGAAAAAGATTTAATGGACCCACAATTACAGCAAAATTATAATACAGAAACGAGATATATTTTCACAACTAGTATGCTTAGGAATATAGATGAAAGAATACCTAATTTGGACAGTGTTGTTACCATAGACAACCCTAACCCAGAGGATGAAGTAAGACTACAAGAAGTTAAAAGAAAAACAGCAACGCCCCTAAATTATGAACGTGAAAGAAGAATGGAAGAGTTGGGCTGGTATTTTTTATTCCCTGACGGAAAAATGGATTTGGTGAAGAAAGAGAGGTTTCGATTACCCCATTGGACTACTTCCAAGCTCGTGTAATGAGTAATGATAAAAGGGTCCAGAGAAATGATTATTTATTTTTTACATTGTCTGTAGTCGAGTATTTTCGAGTTAAAGCTAGTGTGTCAGTTTCATGCAGAATGCGTCAAGGGCAAGGAGAATTTACACCCCACGGACTGATTGACAATATACATCTGACTATGAGAAATGTGCGAGGGTCTGCTTCGTACTGGAGACGATGCTGTTCGGAGTTGATTGCTATGGTAAGAAGTCTAGAGCCTCCTACCTGGCTTGTGACCTTTTCGTGTAATGATCTTAACTGGCCGGATATGATAAAAGCTTTGCTCATTGCGGATGAACGCAATGTAAATGATATAGATAACATAACATTTCCTGAACGACTAAAATTGGTGCAAAAATATCCAGTGGTTGTTGCCAGACAATTCTCAACAAGAATTAATGCTCGTATGCGTTATTTAAAACAAAATAATGTCTGCTTGGGTGGAAGTATCCTAGACTATTGGCATGGGATAGAATTCCAGAATAGAGGAAGTCCACACTTGCACATGTTAGTGTGGTGTGAAAACATTCCTGATTTTTCAACAAATGAAGGGATAAGTGTGATTGAAAGGGTTATTTCGTGTTCTTTGAACCCCCATAATTAAATCTAGTCCAAAATGTCCAAATGCATAGACATACCAACACCTGCTACAAAGATGTTACCAACTATTGTTGTCGTTTTGGGTTTCCTAGGGCTCCAAGTGACGCTACCTTATGTTTGGTTCCTGATGAAGCACTTACCAACAACGGTCGGTTTTGCATTTTGCGAAGAACTTCTCAAGAAACTATGGTAAATAACTATAGTCCTGAAATTCTTAGTCTTTGGGGAGGAAACATGGACATTCAGCCATGCGGAAATATCTCTGACGTCGCGTATTATGTTGCAAAATATGCGAGTAAGTGTGAACCTCACGACACTGGAGACGTTGAACGCCAAGCAATTACAAAAGCTAAAAGATGGGGTGGCACAGTGTGGAGCCAACTGTTTGCGGTCTCTATGGCAATACTCTCGCAACGATTGGTAAGTGCTCTTGAATGTGCATATCGACTTTGCCACCTGCCGCTTAAAATGAGTTCTCGTAAAACAATATTTGTAAATAGCTGCATGCCAAATCAACGCTTTCGTTTATTGCGATTTAAAGGGATGAAACTTCAATATACAACAACATATTTAACCGTTACGTGTTGAGGCCTGATGAGCTAGAAAACATTAGTCTAGCAGAATTTGCTGTGCGTTATGAGACGATTTCAAATATTATGTGGAGTGAGGAAGATGGTGATATTGAACTGAGAGAACCTGTTGATGGGCCTATAAGAATAAGATATATACGATTGAGGGATGCTTCACGCATGCGAGTAAGAAATATGCCAGCTGTGTTACGTACACGTTACTACACACTTAATAGTGACAAAGATGGGTATTATTACAGCTTTATTGTTTGCCATATTCCATTTCGCGATGAAAACCAACTAATGTTGAAAGGCGAGACTCCAGAATCTTGTTGTCTTAGATAAAACGACGAATTAAAGCCTCTGTTGACTAACGTTAGTACCGAAATTTCGCTCATGCAGAACAAGTCATTCAACAAGCAATTGCCCAGGCAACTGCTTTAAATGTTGCCCGTGAAACGCGTTGCGAAAATGTTCCTCGAGAAACGGGTTTTAAAAAATATCAGGGACGATCAAATTATAAACGCCGATGAACATATTAACCAAAATCAGGACGACTACTGTAAAGATGTAGAAGAAATAGGTGCAATGCCTGAGGATATTTTTTTAAATAATATTAGAGGTCTAAACATACAGCAGAAGGATTTATTTCAAAGAATTTCTACGGCCATTGAAAAAGATTTACATGGTGATGATGAAAAGTTGTTCCTTTTTATAACTGGAGGAGCTGGCAGTGGCAAATCATTTGTTTTAAAATTACTCGTGGAGCACATTAAGATGTGTTATGCGCCTACAGTTTCGCTTCTAAAGCCTAAATTTGTTGAGGTAGGTTCATTGACTGGTGTCGCCGCCCGCCAGGTACTTGGGAAAACATTGCATTATCTTTTTTCTCTTCCCATCGAAAAAGGTAATTCAACTGCATATAGACACTTAACTGGTGAAAAGCTAGAACAGGAAAGACGTAAACGGCGTAACACAAGTTGGTTAGTGATTGACGAAGTATCAATGGTTTCTTACGAGAACTTACGAATGATTCATATGCGGTTACAGGAATACAAAAACAATGATAAGTTGTTTGGTGGCATAAATATTGTTCTCTTTGGAGACATCATGCAACTGCCTCCTGTAAAAAGACATTGGTTCTTTGTCCAGCCATCTTGGAATGCTGCAGAAGTTAATTTATGGCACGCATTTTCATTCTGCGAATTAACGATCAATATGAGACAACGAAATGATATAGAGTTTGTTGACCTGTTAAACAATTTACGCGTAGGCGAATTGACAACAAGTCAACTGGAATTGCTCTGTCAGAGGCAAATGGTGGATTTAGATGAAGAGTTTAAGGATGGTGTTGTGGTTCGAATATTCCCGACCGTCAAACAAGTTGACGAATACAATAATGAGATGACAGCTATAAATTGAAAACAAAATCGCGTCTATACAATCCGTTCCATAGATGAGTCTCGTGAAGTTGCTACCTATGGAAAGAAATCTCCAGATAATGTTGTTCCAAAAGATGTGAATAATTGTGGTGGACTTTTATCTGAGGTAAAATTAGCTGTCAAATCTCGTGTGATGTTGAGACGTAACATATCAGTATCCGACGGGCTCGTCAATGGTTTTTTATTTATTTTTTTATTTTTTTATTTATAGGATAAGGGTGACAAAGGGTACTATGGGTATTGTAAAAATAATAAAATGGCCATCACTACGCAGGGATCAACTAGAGGAAGGAGAATTACCAGATTGCGTATTAGTAAAATTTGACGATGAAAGCATAGGAAGCAGACTAAAAGATAGCGATGGTTGTGTCGCCATACCTTCAGTGGTGGCAACTTTTCAAGGTACGAAGAGTTATGGCGATATTGAGCGCAGGATGTTGCCGATAATTTTGTGCTGGGCCGTCACGGTTCACAAATTACAAGGTACGACCCTTGATAAAGCTGTAATCGACCTCGGAAAGAAAGTGTTTGCCAAAGGGCAGGCATATGTGGCACTGAGTAGAGTAAAAACACTTGAGGGTATTGCTATATCTGATCTAGAGCCAAATAAGGTATTACACAAACCTCACGATGCACGAGCTTTAGCAGAAATGCAGAGAGTGAGAGGTCTACACACAAGAGACTGATAGGTCTAAAGCTCATTTATCGAGAGGTTTTTTTGTAATGTAATGTAATTATTATGTAATGTAGTAATACCCCACTCAGAATTAAAATCTGTAAGTAAAAAATAAATCAACCCTATTTTCTTACCCTTAGGGCAAACATTTTTTTTCCAAATTTATATGGGACCAAGTTCGAGGTAAACCCTATCCAATAAAAAAAGAATTATCAAAATCGGACTACTCTGACAAAAGTTATGCGTGGTCATACATAAAAAAAAATATACACGTCGACTTGAGAACCTCCGTTTTTTCGTCGGTTAATAAAAAGAACATAAAGCTCATGTCTAATGACCAGCCGTGGAATTTTACGAGCTAACAATAATAATTATGGTTATGAATATCCAAAATGTAAAGAAACAGAAACTAAGTTACTCAGAACAAAGCAAATTCGTAACGAGTAGCTCACAAAATTGTTGCTGTTTATGTTACAAAATATATTTTATCCTGGAACTTTGGAAGCAGCAAACTATACGTTAAAAAAAAACGTATTTTTTATTTTGTGGTGGGTGTATGCTCCGCAAGTTAAAAACAAAATACAGCTGTATTCTGTACGAGCAGCTGGTAGTAGCGAAACTAAAACAACAGCCAAATCATTGTTAGTTTTCAATGACGGGTTTTTAACTGTGAAATCAAACAACAGACTATAAGGTATTTATTTACCTTTAATCTGTGAATTTTTTGTTGTTTATGTGGACTAGGGGATAACTTGAATATGTAACATAAAAATTAAATTTTAAAATGGTAAAAACAGATAGAAGAAGACGTAAAATAATAACATTATTATCACATACAATAATGGCTTCTGAAGTCGGTGCTACATTAAAGTGTATTGGAGAAATGAAACCTCGACTTTAGAAAGAAATAAATGATTTATATATAATTTTTTTTTCATATTTTAAAGTTTATTTTCAAAATTTTTAAGTCCCATTTTTAATCAGTTTAATAATTGGGCGCTGTTGAGTAGCACTTTACTATTTTTCACTTGATTTGATTTCTCTCCATTGACATAGAGCAGGTTGGACTCCTTTACTACCTGGGTAGGTACCACCATTTTGCCGATTTCTGCCACCATTGCAGAACGGCAATTTCATAGGTAAAGATCTAATATTTATTGAGTTAATATGGTCGTTACATATTTCATTCCTAATTCATTACAACCTATCAAAAGTCTACTGCTTAACATAGGCCTCCCCCAAAAAATGTCTCATAGGGGAGTTTTTACTTATTTTTTTTTATTTAATAACTATAAGCTCATTTAACAGTTTTAAGTCTAAGCCATCTCAGTATATTATTAAAAACTATATATACAATATGTAACAAAAACCCTGTGGTTCCGTTAAGTACGTTATGAGGATCATTATTCAAACCTATAGAAATAACTTTTTTTTAAAAACTCGAACAATATTTTTTTATTTTATTTAAAAAAATAATTGTATGCAATTTGTATGTGGTTTTATTACCTCTGTCGGATTTATCGTCCACAAGTCTCTCGTTAACAACGTTGTAAAGATCGGGAGTGTGTCGACGAGGGTTGCGTACCTTATACTCAGAATCACCAAACGGTATTCGCTGAAGGTCATACAGGTTTACGCACCAACCTCGGCACACCCCGATGGGGAGGTAGAGGAAATGTATGAGGATATCTCTAGAGCCATGCATTCCTCCAAAACCCAATATACGGTGTTAATGGGAGACTTCAATGCAAAACTAGGCACAAGAGAGACCGGTGAGCTGAAAGTAGGGAAATTTGGAATAGGGCAACGGAACCCAAGGGGCCAGCAGCTGGCCGACTTCATGGAGAAAGAGGGACTCTTTATGATGAACTCTTTCTTCCAGAAGCGGCCCCACAGGAAGTGGACCTGGTCGAGCCCCGACGGTTCGACAAAAAATGAGATTGACTTCATTATGACGACCAGACGACAACTGTTCAGTGATGTCTCCGTGATTGCGAGGGTGAAAACTGGTAGCGATCACCGAATGGTTAGAGGCACACTGAACCTAAACGTTAAGTTGGAGAGGTCTCGTCTAATGAAGTCAACGCTCCGTCCCCCTCGTGCTCTGTTCCAAAGTCCCGAAACCTTTCAGCTCGAGTTACAAAACCGTTTTCAGTGCCTAGAAGACTGCAATGAAGTGGACGATATGAATGACAAGCTCGTGGAAACTGTCCATGCGGTCGGAGCTAAGTTCTGCAAGACCCGCAGCAGAAGAACACAAAAACTCTCCGATCACACTCTTAATCTCATGGCTGTTAGACGGGAGATGAAGCTACATTCTTCAACAGACTTGACAGCATACAGGCATCTGAACAGACAGATCTCCAAATTCATGCGGCGGGACTTACGCAACTTCAATACAGCTCGTATTGAAGAAGCGATCGAGCGGAACCAAGGCTCCAAAGTCTTTGCCAGAGATCTGTCTGCCAGAAAGAGCCACCTGTCAAAGCTGAAGACAGAATGTGGCAGCATCGTTTCCGGGACACCTGAGATTTTGAGTGAGATTGAGAGGTTCTATGGGCAGCTGTACACGTCATCGTTGGAGCCACACGCAAGTGTGAGTAATGATCCAAGAGCGAGTCTCATCCGACACTATTCCGAAGATATCCCGGACGTCAGTCTGAGCGAGATTAGAATGGCTCTCCAGCACCTTAAAAACGGTAAGGCCCCAGGCGAGGATGGAATTACAGCGGAGCTTCTGAAAGCGGGTGGAAAACCGGTACTTGAAGTCCTTCAGAAGCTCTTTAATTCCGTCCTCCATGGTGGCATTACACCGGAGGCGTGGAGCAGAAGTGCGGTGGTCTTGTTCTTCAAGAAAGGTGACAACGCTCTCTTGAAGAACTACAGACCGATTTCCCTTCTGAGCCGTGTTTACGTGCTGTTTTCGAGAGTCATTACGAATCATCTCGCGCGCAGACTTGACGACTTCCAGCCTCCCGAACAAGCCGGTTTCCGAAAGGGCTTTAGCACCATAGATCACATACATACCCTTCGGCAAATTGTACAGAAGTCCGAAGAGTACAATTTGCCACTATGTCTGGCGTATGTGGACTATGAGAAAGCCTTTGATTCCGTCGAAATTTGGGCGGTGCTGTAGTCCCTTCAGCGGTGCCAAGTTGACTGTCGGTATATCGAAGTGTTGAAGTGCTTGTACAGTAGGGCTACGATGGCTATCCGAGTACAGAACCAGAGTACGAAACCTATCCAATTGCAGAGAGGTGTAAGACAGGGTGACGTCATATCCCCGAAACTCTTCACCGCTGCATTGGAAGACGTTTTCAAGCTTCTGGACTGGAAAGGATACGGTATCAACATCAATGGCGAGTACATCACTCACCTTCGATTTGCCGACGATATAGTCCTTATGGCAGAATCGCTGGAGGACCTAAGCACTATACTCAATGACCTCGATAGTGTTTCCCAACGGATAGGTCTTAAGATGAACATGGACAAAACAAAGATCATGTTTAATGTCCATGTCACACCTATGCCGGTATTTGTTGGGAGCACTAAGCTCGAAGTTGTTGACGAGTATGTTTACCTGGGACAAATAGTCCGACTAGGTAAGTCCAACTTCGACCGAGAGGTCAATCGATGGATTCAACTCGGCTGGGCAGCGTTCGGGAAGCTACGACACATCTTCTCGTCAGACATACCTCAAAACCTGAAAACGAAATTGTACAACCAGTGCGTGTTGCCAGTGATGACTTATGGAACTGAGACGTGGTCCTTCACTGCTGGCCGTATGAGGAAGCTCAAGGTCGCTCAGCGAGCTATGGAGAGGGCTATGCTCGGAGTTTCTCTGCGTGATAAACTTAGGAATGAGGATATCCGCAGTAGAACCAGAGTAACCGACATAGCCCAACGGATTAGTAAGCTGAAGTGGCAGTGGGCCGGCCATATAGCTCGAAGAACCGACAACCGATGGGGAAGAAAGGTTCTCGAGTGGCAGCCTCGTACCGGTTGGCGAAGTGTAGGGCGTCCCCCCACGAGATGGAGTGACGACCTGGTAAGACATGCAGGAAGTCGATGGATGCAGGTGGCTCAGGACCGTGCTTTGTGGCACTCTTTGGGGGAGGCCTATGTTCAGCAGTGGACTTGTGAAGGGCTGTAATGATGATGATGATGATGATTTATTACCTCTGCATTGTCTGGGGAGTAAGAGGATTGTCAAAGACCCCGCTTTACTTAGCTTTAGCATCGGCTAGTGTCAGTGAGAGGCAATAAAACCATATAAAATTTAATTTTATTTATAAAATAAAAAA